CTCCTGATCTTGGTCATTCTTAACTGATGTACAGTACAGAATATTTATGGTTGAGGAGGGAAATCTTGACAGGACAGAAGCTGCTTCAGTCGAGCTTCTTCTGCGGCATTTATCTCTCTCATGATCCTCAACGATCTTGGGTGACCCAGTCTTCTGGGCTGGTTCATGAAATTAATGCTGATTCTTTCACAGGGAAAGGAAGCTTTCACACACTAACCCTCTTTGTAAAAAGATGTAAATGTAGAGTTTGAGGTTGTTTTGAGCACTTAACGAGAGAAATAAAAGAGGAAAAACTCAAACTCAGCATGTTCATTCATAAAAGAGGTATTTTAAACTCATCTTAACTGCAGCAGAGTAATATCACCATTAACAAAAAGAAAGGTATTAAAGAATAGTGATTACATAGTGCAAGCAGTGAACCGGAGAGCTGGGTGCTCTCTCTGGAGGTTTTTGTACAGCCTCTCTATGGTAATTAAACACTGTGGTGGACTTTCGGGCAAGGAACCAAGGTGGTGGTGAAATGTAAGTGACTTCTCTTCTTTCTCTCAACTCGGCAGACTTTTCTTGTCTTTTCAAATGTTTTTATGATGTTTTAACTGCGATCCAGTGTGCTTTGTGCCTCCTGATCTTGGTCATTTTTAACTGATGTACAGAACAGAATATTTATGGTTGAGGAGGGAAATCTTGTCAGGACAGGAGTTGCTTCAGTCAAGCTTCTTTTGTGCGACTTTCCTCTCTCATGATCCTCAACGATCTTGGGTGACCCAGTCTTCTGGGCTGGTTCATGAAATTAATGCTGATTCTTTCACAGGGAAAAGAAGCTTTCACACAAACGTTCTTTGTTAAGCGATCTGAATGTACAGTTTAATTCATGCTCTTAGTTATAAAAACAAAAGAGGAAAGACTCAAACTCAGCATGTTCACTTACAAAAGAGGTATTTTGTAGCAGCACAGTAATATCACCATTAACTAAACTGGGATATTAAAGTTATGGAATTCAAGTGATCATAGAGCAGGCAGTGCACTGGAGAGCTGGATGCTCTCTCTGGAGGTTTTTGTACAGCCTCTCTATGGTAATATAACACTGTGGCTCACTTTCGGACAAGGAACCAAGGTGGTGGTGAAATGTAAGTGACTTCTCTTCTTTCTCTCAACTCAGC